TTAAAACATCAAAGCCAATTGCTATTTAACAAAAGAAGAGTTTTAGGATGTTATTTAAAGGTGATAATGCACAATAAGAAAAATTAATAAAAAAATTTAATACAGTACAAAAATAAATCAAGTCCTGGGATTTCCTCCAGGGACTCTGCTTGCTCCCACCAGTTCAAAAACATGCTGAGGCTAATGAGAAGTTCCAAACTGCGCGCGTGTGTAGACTCGTGACCCCATGACATGTCATATAGGACAAGCAGGTTTAGAAAATGCACGGATATTCAGGCTGTCCCAGCTTAGCTGATGCGGACGCTTGCGGTTTGAATAAGCTTGGGAAACCGTGCAACTTTTGATGTAATTTCATTTACCTGCAGAGTGGGACTTTATAACAAACAAATCAAAGGTTAAAGTAAAGCGGTTTCTGTAAACACGGAGAAATCCTGCCCTAGAAGCACGGTGGCAGCTGCAATTATCTCTTCCGGATGTGAGTGTCTGTTGTTTATCCCAGAAAAACAGCAGTTTTTTCCCTCTTTATCTTCGCTCCCCCGTTGCTTAAGGGGAACAGCACAGCAGATGCAACGTGCTCTCTCCGATCCCATTTCCAAATGTGTTCGTTACATTCTGATGAACTTTCCCGCAAACAAATTAAACAATTTCATGTGCGACTTTTTAGAAATCAATGACGGAACAGCTGTGTATCCTATAAACCTCTGCAATTTATAGCAGGAAGCTACGACACATACACTCTATACTATAGTGGCATGTAGCTGCTGCAGTATCCTGGCTCTTGCCCGTAATGACAGCTTAAGGTTTCCATTTGTGTGGAGTTGCGTTTAACGGCGATGCCTCTATAATGGAGGCAAATAGGCTCCGTGATTCCCTCGGGTGGAAGCGCTATGCGGCGCTCCGCTAACCCAGGGGTCTGACGGTGCCCGAGTTGGTCGTTATTTTTGCTAGTAGTGAAATAGTGATGCAGCCCGTGGACCAAAATACATTGGCGGGGCAGTGCCCTAATTATAACTACCTGCAGATCGCTTTCCTTTGATAAAGCTATACCAAGGGTGTACGCATCCGCGTTAAAACACGCATCATTGGCGATCAGCTCTCTGCTTTTCCGTGTTCCGTGGCAGTGGGACGTGCAGGGACGCAAATCTCGGCTGCGTCCTTACAGTGACTCATGCTCTGGCTTGGCTACAGCTATCTGTCTTTAAGGAAGCCAGAATGTAAAGTTGTAATTTTAAACGCCGGAATAATAATGGAGAGAGCCGAGGCACCTCCTGTGCGCATCGGGGAGTGGAGCGCAGTGCGTCACCACCTTCGTGTCAGGCGCTACTTCCCCTTATTCATCTTTATCTGGCTATTGCACTGTTGGTATTCCTGTCCCGTATGACACAGAGCCAGGACTATATCAGAGTTACATAAAGCAGAACTTTCAGGGTTAGTGCCCCTGTAAATGGTAACTTTCCAAAAAGATCACCCAATACCTAAAACGGAAGTCGGCACGCTTTTAGACAACCCACATGATGCTTGTGAAATATAGTTTTTTTCGGAATGGACACCAGAATAAATTACGGTTTTAAGTAACATTCTCACACCTTCTTAAAAGTGTGAGTTGAGGTTTAAAAGCTATGCTGTCGTGATCGCAGAAGATCTGCAAATTACCGTACTTGATAAATGCGCTTGAATGTCCATGTTCCAAATGGAAAAGCATTTTTATATTCCATGGTGAAATTAATGTTGCTTCTGTTAATGTTCTACGTCGTCTATATATTATGGTGGGCAGTGGCAGTGCCTGGCAAGGGCAGGATGTGCAGTGTCCCTGGACGGCATCTTCTTGAGAGGTGCTTATGGAAAATAGAAAAAATACAAAAGGGTTGTGATGACAAGGGTATGGTAGTCGGTACCAATTCAGGGGGAAGCACCTCTTTCCCCCTGCAGGGCAGACGTCTTCCAAGATCTCGAGGCACCAGACCAGAGACCCCATTCCCGGGGCCCATCCATCTCCCTTCTGTCCAACCTTCTCCCCAGCATGGGCTTTACGTGGCCATGGATGATGGTCCACTAGCCTACTTTCAAGACTTAGGGTACTGCATTTCAAACATGCTTAAACACCCTGAACTACAAAACTGAACACAAGGGGGTCGAAACAAAGGCAGGTAGGTAACACAAGAAATAACCAGCACTTTAACTAAACGTGATGGACTACAGTGTAATCAGACACACTCAGAACAGTGTTTACAACACCGACCAGCTAACAGCAATCATGCAAGCACATTCAATAGCTGACAGAGGATCAGGGCATAGGCAGACACATATATACACAGCTAACAAGGTCTAGACAAGGGACGGATGTGGGTCATTAACAACTACTCAAAGACTAGGGACTAAGAGATACTAGGAACACAGGACTTAGATACAAACTGGGTACAGACAGGCTAAACAATAGCACTAAGGACAAGGATGAAACTAAAGTACATAAACAGAAGTATTTTGAGTAATTAGAGTAAACTAGTAGTGGGGTTCAACTAATCAAATGTCCAATGACGGTCTGGGATGCATAGCTGATTAGCCACAAACTGTGCCTACTCAGCCAGATGGTAGCCCAGGAAATGGGGAGAACTATGGGGATTGTGAGTGAGGAAAAACGTAGGGGAACACAGGGAGCAGAGCGAGATGAACGGTGACACCTGCTGGCCAAACAGGGAAATGACAGACAGAATAGGACAAGACAGGAACCAATCCTAACACTGGGGAAGACTGTCCGGTCCATTGGTTGGGGTAATTATCGGCCGCCAGCCGCGTCCAATGGCTGGCTCCTTGTGTTCAAATGTGAGGAAACCACTGATAGCGTAGGCCTGCATGGTGCTGCTTGCCCCTTACTGGTGCACAGTGGATTCTTGGTGGACCATCATGTCACAGTGTATGTTCTCAGTGTATGAGTTTTTCATCTATTACAAAATCACTTAAAGGCAGAATAATTATGTAATTTTTTTCTATGATTGCTTCACAGATATATTGTTCCTAAGTGTGTTACGTTAAAGCCTTTGTTAATAATGTGTATATTAATTTTCAATATTTGACTTCTTTTTAAAATTTCAAGTACTGTTACTTCAGGCATCAATCATGTGGTTAATATTAATGTTCTTTTCATTTTATCCAGAGACACATGAGGTCTCAAGCTTTATGATAGTGTTTGCCTCACAGAAAGCTTAACTGGGCCAATTTGAAATGGAATAGTTGTTCCAATTAATTTTCGTCAGTTGCTTTAATCCCTGTCATGTACTTATTAATAACTGCAAAATACCCATAGTAATACAAAGTCTGTGCCTATTGGCAGAGCTGGGATTTATCAGTAAACCTGTATTTATCTGAATAATGTCAATAATATTGTCTCTATAACTGTCTGCAAGGAAGAAATATTTCATGCATGAATTTGGATGTACTAGTATGTACCATGTGCTAATGTGCAGTTCATTAGCTGCTAATTAGCTGCTAAATAAGAACTAATTGGTGTCTCACATATGGCCCTTATGATTTGGTCTTTCACTCACGTTAGCTTTGCTGAACAGATGGCATGAAATTCAATCTTGTTATCTCAGTGTGACCTCAGTGTGACAAGTGGTGCAGTTCAGCTAGAGATTCCATGGAATTTTCATGACTAGGTTAAGTTTTAAAGATGCATCCTTAACCACAAAGAGAGCAGGCGGCGCTTGTTAACAAATATAGGTTGAATCATTCTTGACACGTATGTCCTTGTTTAACTGTAGTATTTCTTGTTTGGACATTTTGTAATATGGTATTCACCATTAGTTTGTGTTTGACATTATGAGAATTCCAGTGAATAATACATGAACGAAATGTTCAATTGATTGTGAAAAAAAGAAAATCGGCATTTCTGTACCTGTCTAGGCCTTAGACATTTCTGTACCTTGGCATTATAAGTAACCGTGATTACATGACTGGATCAATAATACATCAAGTAGCAGTGATTATGTTGCTGGAGTTTATTTATTGATATTATGTTACTGTATTTTATTGGTGCTTAAGCTGAATCCTTGAAACATGACTAATTCATTCATTTTCCTAGGAAATGGGTCATTATGATAAAACTACATTTACAAATAGAGCAAAATTTCTGTGAGGGCATGCATTTCTTTTCAGGGACATAAACTGACTAATAACTGGTTATGTGCCATATGTCAAATTAATGTTAAGTTATATTTTATTTTCCCTCTGAAATGTTTATTTTAGTAATTAATTGAGCTGAGAATGTGAGCATTACTGTCCTTTGGAAGAAATGTTTTTGACGATTACCATCTGTGTGAAAGGATATGCTCCCTCAAAGAAAAAGGCATGAAATAAGCCAGTCAGGAGAAAATGTACCTTCATTCATCTTATACACGGGGGTCTGGAGCCTGTCCTGGAAACTACGGGTGCAAGGCAGGGAACAGCCCAGGATGGGGCGCCAACCCATCGCAGGGCACATACACCATTCACACACTCTGGCAATTTGGCACCTTTAGCGTGTTTTACGACTGTGTGGGAAAACTGCAGAACATTCTGTATATGTTTTTTTTTTATTTTTGTAAATTAGCACACGGTGGCTATACAGTTTTGTCATTGATCCCTGATGGAGGGTCTCTTGGTCTGATACAGCAGGGCAGGGACGGATTATGGGTTGTGTGGGCCCCTGGGCAAAATGTTCGC